CATCGCTGGCATCGGGCTTCAGGTATTCCAACAGTCTGTTGGAATGAACACAGTCATGGATTACAGCCCAACAACAGTTCAGCTGGCTGGATTTGCCTCAAATCAGATAGCGCTGGCACTCTCACTTACAACATCTAGATTGAATGCTTTGGGGTCTATTGTCAGCATCTACTTCGTAGATAGAACAAGAAGGAAGAAACTTCTAGTTATTAGTTTGTGAGGAGTTCTTCTTTCTCTTGGAGCTCTTTCGGCAGTTTTTCATCAAACTTCTACACATTCACCAGTTGTCGGTAAGGTGGAGACAGGACATTTTGGTAATTCTACCTGCCCAGCTTTTCAGTCTGTTTCAGCTACTTGGGATTGCATGAAGTGCTTGAAAGCTTCATCTCCTTCTTGTGGGTTTTGCGCCTCTTCCATCAACAAGGTAATAAAATCCCTTGCTGAGCTTCTTTGGAAAGTCCTAGCATTAGGACTTCGCACATAAACTATTTGATGAAATGCCTGAAAGGCTTACAATTTGCTCGAATCGAAAGCTTTTTGCAGTCCTATGGAGCTCACAACAATTTCATAAGAAAGTGCATTGTTGAGAATTTCTAATTGTTTCTTTTTATATCCTGAAGTCCTGAGATGAAGGAATGCTTGTCTTTTCGCTTCATTCTATTTTATTGTTACACAAATTCCACTTAAATATATAGATTCAGGAAGATTTACATGCATACCACCCAACTCTTACGTATTTACATATCTAACACCTAAATTTTATTTTTTACATTAATATCACTCAAATCATTCACATCACATAAAAATATTACCACTTTAAATTTTCAAATTAAAAATACTTTTCATGCATAGTTAAGGTGACATATACGTATAAATGTAAAGTTTAAGTGTTAAAAATGTAATTATGTAAGAATTGAGTGGTATGCATGTAATTCTATCGTCATTCTTAGTGATTATTTAACTTGTGATCTTTGCCAGCATGTTAAAGTCAAATTTCCAAGAAATGCATAGGTTGAGATCCTGAAAGAAAGTTTTCCTCTGACTTTGCTTAAATGGGTTTTAATTACACTTAGACTTCATATCTTGTTTTGATCAGTGGATTAAAAAAAATGAATTTGTTCACGTTCTGAATTCAGAATTGTTTCTGTTTCATTATAATGGTATAATTCTTTGGTTTAAACGTGGAATTCGCCTACCTGTTTGTTTCATTTTTGTGATTCTTGTGAGGTAAATCGACACGTGGACTGGACACCGACGGCTTGTAGCAAGCAGCGAGGACTTCATCAACCTTCTCGACGCCGGGAGGTTTGCATGGTCCAAGAATTAAATAATAAAGAACTCTCTAGCATTGAGTGCTTGCTTCTTTTAGACGACATTGGGAGTCCATAATTGTTCAATCTCCCCTGTACTTCAATAGTATATATCCCTGGAAGCTTCTATGATATGCTTGGAGAATGCAAGGAAGAAATATATCCAAATTGGTTCCCTTTGCCTAACAGGATGTTGGTAGGATGTTAG